TTCGGATGGTTCACGAATCCCAAGAAACTTTGGGATGTATGTGTTACAGGCGTCGATTGTACCGGACAGTTGCTGATGAGGGAACTGATATCCCGGGGCACATCAAAGAGATGCGCGCTATTAAAGATCAGTTGATCAACATGGGCGATGAAGTGAAGGACGAAGATTTTATCACAGCGTTGATAACGTCCCTCCCAGAATCCTGGGATCAATTCACTTCGTCGCACATTGCTTCTCGAAACCTCAGTCAGAAGGTTGCGGCCGCGATGGCCCAATCTGTCTCTGGTAGTCCAGTACCTGTCTCCACACGGCCGCTCGTATCTTCGATTGAATTAATTTCATTGATTCTTGATGAGGACCGCCGCCGCAAGGAGAAAGCTGGTGAATCCGCAGGAGGATCATCAGTAATGTTCTCGCGCAACAAGGATAATGCGCAGAGCAGTTCCGATGAGACTTGCTTCAACTGTAAGAAGCCCGGCCACCGCGCGAAAGATTGCTTCGCGAAAGGCGGTGGAAAGGAGGCCCAGTATCCAAAGCATTGGAAGAAGAAGCCTCAGGGAAAGAAAGGTAAGCATGCAGCAAATGTTGGTGCTAACGAGGCCCAGGATGATACCAGCCCCCATTATTCGTTTGCCGGAAAGTCCCACTTCGATACGCGTCTCCCACGAGACTCTTGGCTGGCCGACTCGGGCTGTACAACTCACATTGCAAATAACCTTGCACTATTTCGGGATTACACGCCGATTGAAGGCGAAACGATTACAGGTCTAGCCGACAACAAAGTCAAGGCCTTGGGTAAAGGCACAGTGTTTCTTGAAACCTCGAAAGATGGTCAGTTGATTACAACTAGACTTCAAGACACTTTGTACGCACCAGACACTGTTAATAACCTATTTTCCATCTCCTGCGTCGATGATGTGGGAGGCAGCACTAATTTTGCGAATGGAAAGGTTGAAATCCGGGATAAGAATGGCCATGTGGCGCTCCAGGGGGAGAAGAGATACCGGCTTTATTGGCTTGATGTGAAAGCAAAGCTTGAAGCGAACCAGGTGAACATCGCGGACTCTAACGGGTCAAATGACACAAATTCCTGGGAGTCCTGGCATAAGCGCTACGGACATGTATCTAAGTCAACATTGGAATTGCTGGTCAGAAAGGGAAGTGTGGATGGACTCACAATTAATCCCGACAGCACTCCATTGGCCCAATGTGAGGTTTGCATCAAGTCTAAGATGCATCGCAAACCATTTCCCAAGAAATCGACCAACCGGTCCGATACCCGCGGCGAAGGAATTCATAGCGACCTCTGGGGTCCGGCCCGCACAAAGTCAACCGAAGGAAATTATTACTATATTTCTATATTTCTTTCACTGACAATGCAACTCACAGAATCATGATTTTGTTCTTGAAGACAAAAGATCAAGCTAAACGCAAGGTGCTCGACCATATTGAATGGTTGGAGCGGCAGTATAACTGCAAACCTAAGTGGATTCGTGTGGATGAAGGCCGTGAGTTCCTAAATTCAGAGTTGAAAACAGCACTTGATAAGAAGGGGATTGAACTTCGTGCTGTTGCTCCCTATTCGCAATCACAGAATGGCATTGCAGAGCGCCTGAATCGGACAGTTGTGGAGCTGGCAAGAGCCATGCTGGAAGCGAAAGATCTTCCGAGGAGCCTATGGGAATGGGCAGTCCTCCATGCTGTTTATATTCGAAATCGGGCACCTACGAAATCTTTGCCCCATGAGGCATTTACGGGCGAGAAGCCCAACGTTGCTCACTTTCAGGAAATCGGAACGGATGTCTGGATCTATCAAGAGGTTCAGAAGGCAGGTAAATTATTTGGACATGCTAACAAGTTTATATTTGCAGGGTACGACGAAGGCCCCAAAGCGATCCGTTATTACGACACCAAGACTCACCGAGTCAAGGTATCACGGAATTTCACGTTTACGGAACCCGATAAGAAAGTGACTGAAATGAAATTCATTGAAGTTGATTCGGGAGACGTACAGCTTGAGGGGGAGTCCGGAAATAGCAAACTGCCGTCGCCGAAAACTTCAACATCACCAGTACCCAGTCCACCATCGAGCCCGCAGAGCGAGGGACTGCACCGAAACCTGACCCGTCAGAAGCGAGTTCTGACAGTGACGACTCATCTGATCCGCTGCAAACTGCAGCTCCATCCACTCCCAACCGTCGCACGGATCCGCCGAGGAGTCAGTCCTCAAATTCGAGGCTATAAACTGTTTATGACGATAAGCCAAATCGTCTCAATCCCACTCCGATTCGAAGATTAACACGTACCGTCAAAGAGCATAATTACCGCCAGCTCGGAAACCCTGATGCACGACTGCCAAAGGCCGGCCGTGCAAGTCGGCCCGAGCCCGATGCGGGAGATGACGGCGCAAATATTGCCCACTATGCATACCGAGCATCAGTAGGTGATCTTTCGACTGGGAATAACATACCTCAGAGTGTGCGCGAAGCGCGCGAGTCCCCTGATTGGCCTAAATGGGAAAATGCAATCAATACAGAGCTTGAGACACTCGGTCGCATGGGTACCTGGGAACTTGAAGATTGTCCCAAGGACCGAAAGCCCGTTGGATGTAAATGGGTATTTGACTTGAAAACTGACCAGCAAGGGAAAGTTGTCAAATACAAGGCCAGACTCGTCGCGAAGGGATACTCACAGATCCCCGGCATGGATTACTTCGACACATTTTCTCCCGTCGTTCGGCTAGAATCACTGCGATCTCTGCTGGCCATCGCCGCCGTTGAAGACCTCGAAATGAAGCAGCTCGATGTGAAAGGAGCTTACCTCAACGGCGATCTCTCCGAGGAGATCTACATGGCTCAGCCACCTGGTTACGACGACGGCTCCGGCCGTGTTTGTCGCTTGAAGAAGACCCTCTATGGTCTCAAGCAATCCGGTCGTGAGTGGAATCGGAAACTCCACAGTTTACTCACTGGCTTAGGCTTCAAATGAATTGAAGTTGACCACGGCGTTTATATGCGCAGAATTAAAGATCGATTCGTGATCATCACTGTATGGGTCGACGACTTACTGCTTTTCAGTAACAATCCTACGATGCTTGGCGCTGTAGAATCCGCTTTGAAGCGCGAAGTGGAAATTAACGACATCGGGGAACCCAAGAAACTTATCGGCATCGAAATTTACCGTGACAGAAAGGCGCGCACAATCCAGATATCGCAGGAGCACTATATTGATGGTGTTCTGAAACGATTTGGTTACGAGAATATGTCGGCAGTCACAACGCCGATGGATCCCAACGTCGTACTCGAGAAGCTCGAGACCCAAGGCCAGACAACAGATGAGCGCGGCCGTAGCTACGCCGAGCACATGGGATCGTTGATTTGGCCAGCCACAATTAGTCGCCCGGATATTGCATTTGCTGTTGCGAGACTTGGATCGTACACAGCAAACCCCGGTCCAGCTCACTGGACGGCGATGAAGAGAGTCTTTCGGTACCTGAAAGGTACGCGATCACTCCGGATCACTTACGGCGGCATCAATCCCGATAAATCCGAGACCCCTATTTTGGACACGCACGGCGCGTTCAGCGACGCTGACTTTACAGCAAACCCCGACGACCGGAAATCTGTCTCGGGACACGTATACATGCTTGGAGGAGGCCCAATTGCTTGTTCAAGAAACAACCCACGGTTGCACTCAGTACAGCCGAAACAGAATATTCGGCACTTACCGCCGCAACTCGACAAGCCATTTGGCTTCGTTATTTATTCAACGCACTTGAATTCGGAGAAATTGATGAACCTACTCTCATTTACTCCGACAACCAGTCTGCAATAACCATTGCCCATGATCCTCAACATCATGCCCGCTCGAAACATTTCGACATCGAGAACCACTTTGTTCGCGAGAAAATTGAGCTCGGCATAATTCATAAAATGCTAGCTGATATTTTCACCAAGGCATTACCCCGCATCAAGCATGAGAAATTCACGCAAGAAATGGGGTTACTAGCGGCTTGAGGGGGAGTGTTGGAAACACTGCCTTCGGGCATCTCGGGCAATCCGCCAGTACTTACCTGTGCTCCGTAGAACATTGTAGAATATATTATAGCTTTGTGACTCATGTACAATATGACTCAGTAGGACTCCATATGACTCACAGGGCTGTACCCTCGTAGTATTTAAGCTGATGTATTCAGTACTATGAATCTAACTTATTTTGCTTACAACTACTATCTGCGTGAAGTCGGACGTTCACCGCGTCCAAACTACGTACTCAATCTACCTGCGCCAACAGTTTATGGCTCAGGCCTGAGTCGAACAGGCATTCTCTGCAGTGCATGGTGGTAGCACCGGATTGAAAGCAGATGCGGACTCCGCTACCGAGCCTTACTTGTGTACTTTCGGACCTCGTCAGGTGTGTCTACTGTGTTTATTTCTTTCAAAAAAGAAATAGAAGCCCAAGCTGGACATGGCTTGGGCCTGAGTCGAACAGGTGTTGTCTGCTGTATACAACGATATGGACGAATTGAAAGCAGATGCGGACCTTCCGCTACCGAGCCTTACTTTGTTCGCTTAGAACTCCAACACCTGGGCGAACTCATTTATTTCTCCCAACAAAAAAACTGCCGAACGGGAAACGATGGCTCGGGCCTGAGTCGAACAGGCATGTCTGCTGCATAGTGTTCAACAAATCACGGGCACAGAAGGCAGATGCGGACCCTCCGCTACCGAGTCTTATTTCCTTGGCTTACAACCTCACAACTTGGTATATTTCTTTCCTTTATTTTTTTTCTTCAAAAAGACTTGGATTCCGAGGATTAATTGGCTCGGGCCTGAGTCAAACAGGCGCTGTCTGCTGTGTAACACAGTCGATAAGCTGAATGGAAAGTAGATGCAGACCCTTCGCTACCGAGCCTTACTCCATTAGCTTACAACCTCACGACTTGGTATATTTCTTTCATTTCATTTTTTTTCAAAAAGATTTGGATTCCGAGGATTAATTGGCTCGGGCCTGAGTCGAACAGGCGCTGTCTGCTGTGTATGTCAGTCGATATCCCGAATTGAAGCAGATGCGGACCCTCCGCTACCGAGCCTTACTGCTCCCCTTTGGAACCTCATGAGATAGCGCCATTTAATTATTTTTTTTAACGAAAAATTCAACTACTAATGGCTCGGGCCTGAATCGAACAGGCTTCCTCTGCTGTATGTTTTTGAAAACCTTGTTGAATTGAAGCAGATGCGGACCCTCCGCTACCGAGCCTTACTTCTCCTCTTTAGAACCTCATGAGATAGCACCATTTAATTCCTTTCTAAAACTAAAAATTAGGATAGTGGACTGCTAACCAATGGCTCAGGCCTGAGTCGAACAGGCGTTCTCAGCAGTGCATGGTGGTACAAAGGATCGGATTGAAAGCAGCTGCGGACCCCCCGCTACCGAGCCTTATTTCCTTAGCTTACAACCTCATTACTTGGTATATTTCTTTCATTTCTTTTTTTTTCCAAAAAGACTCGGGTGGATTCCGAGGATTAATTGGCTCAGGCCTGAGTCGAACAGGCATGTCTGCTATGTCAACGACGTGGACGAATTGAAAGCAGATGCGGACCCTCCGCTACCGAGCCTTGTGTACTTTCGAACCTCATCAGGTGTGTCTACTGTGTTTATTTCTTTCCAAAAGAAATAGAAGCCCAAGCTGGACATGGCTTGGGCCTGAATCGAACAGGCGCAGTCTGCTGTGTACGACAGTCAATATGCCGAATGGAAAGCAGATGCGAACCCTCCGCTACCGAGCCTTACTCACCTAGGTTAGAATTCAGTCAAGTTGGTGCATTCATAATTCTGTTTTGAACAAAAAACTCCGAACTCGGACGAATGATGGCTCGGGCCCGAATCGAACAGGCATCATCTACATTTACATATTTCAAGCAACCCTATTGGAGGTAGATGCGGACCCTCTGCTACCGAGCCTTACCCACCTACCTTATAACCTGGCTGAGTGGAAATGGCTTACATTTCTTCCAACAAAAAAAGTGCCGCAGGAGGCATCCTTATGGCTCGGGTTTGAGTCGAACAGGCATTGTCCGCTGTATGTTCTGAAAAGCTCGTTCAATTGAAGCAGATGCGGACCCTCCGCTACCGAGCCTTACTTCTCCCCTTTGGAACCTCATGAGATAGGGCCCTTAAATTCTTTTTTAAAAACTAAAAAGTGGTGCCGAATTACTAATGGCTCGGGCCTGAGTCGAACAGGCATTCTCTGCTGTGTATGATACATCCAATTAAGCTTTATTGAAAGCAGATGCGGACCCTCCGCTACCGAGCCTTTTTACTACCTGTGGAACCTCATGAGATACCGCCATTTAATTCTTTTTTAAAAACTAAAAAGTGGTGCCGAATTACTAATGGCTCGGGCCTGAGTCGAACAGGCATTCTCTGCTGTGTATGATATATCCAGTTAAGCTTCATTGAAAGCAGATGCGGACCCTCCGCTACCGAGCCTTATTTCTCCTCTTTAGAACCTCATGAGATAGGGCCATTTTATTCTTTTTTAAAAACTAAAAAGTGGTGCTGAATTACTAATGGCTCGGGCCTGAGTCGAACAGGCATTCTCTGCTGTGTATGATACATCCAATTAAGCTTTATTGAAAGCAGATGTGGACCCTCCGCTACCGAGCCTTTTTACTACCCTGTGGAACCTCATGAGATAGGGCCCTTTAATTCTTTTTTAAAAACTAAAAAGTGGTGCCGAATTACTAATGGCTCGGGCCTGAGTCGAACAGGCATTCTCTGCTGTGTATGATACATCCAATTAAGCTTCATTGAAAGCAGATGCGGACCCTCCGCTACCGAGCCTTACTCCCTTAGCTTACAACCTCATGACTTGGTATATTTCTTTCATTTCTTTTCTTTCAAAAAGACTCGGATGGATTCCGAGGATTAATTGGCTCGGGCCTGAGTCGAACAGGCATGTCTGCTGTGTCAACGACGTGGACGAATTGAAAGCAGATGCGGACCCTCCGCTACCGAGCCTTATTTCCTTAGCTTATAACCTGCCTAGGTAGAATGGTCTTTGTTTCTTCCAACAAAAAAAGTGCCGAGCGACATTCTAATGGCTCGGGCCTGAATCGAACAGGCTTCCTCTGCTGGATATCAAGCAATGGGAGAATTGAAGCAGGTGCGGACCCTCCGCTACCGAGCCTTCCTTACCACCGTTCAAAACTCGATTGTCTTCCCCAACATTCCGAATTCATGTCTCCCCATACATAGAACAAGCTAACTGTCAGATCACATCACGCGGAGGTATTTTTGGTGCTCGAGTAAAAGTCCGATTTGATGCGGAGCGGTGAAGTCGTTCTAATTAGCTGTTCTAGCTTCTCGCTTCTCAGGGACGGAGGTGATGCGGTTCGCACGTCGCAGGCGCGGAGGTAAGTAAGTGCGGGGGCGTTCGCACACCCCACGCTGTCTCGGATCTTAGAGCAGGCTCGGTGGGATCATGTATCAAGCGGTTAGATATAAGTCTGATCGAGTGGTTATGTGGATGCATACGCCGCTTTGACTTTGGATGGATAGGACACTGATCTGATTTGGGGTGGGGATTGATCGGGTGAGGAAGGGAGTGAGGATTGAATGCAATCCTGGGGAGGTTTGAACTCGGTGGTCGAGACTCGAATTCCAGATGAGAAGCGACGAGAAGGCATCGGAGGGAAAGCTTCCGCGGATGGGGTGAATGATTATGAAACGCCGGTGGGGAATCGAATCGTGATGGCGGTGATTGAGTGCCACACGAGGCAGTGCGATAACATACCAGTCCCAAAAAGGGAATAATCGCTTTCCCCCAACCACCACACCATGGCTTCTCCTACCACCCACGGGCTCGCGCACGACCCCGCCCAGCTCGCCGCGCTCCCCTCCATCCCACACGTCCCCAAAGTCCGCGTCCTCGATGCCGCGCAGTTCGCCGCCATGCACACGGCGCACATCGTCGCCCACCCGCCCGACGGCGTGCTCTTCCCCTTCCTCCACGGCCTCGAAGGCGACAACCACGCTCAGAACACCTTCTTCGCTGCTCCCGCGCGCCGCCGGCCGCCGCGCTTCCGCGGGCTCGTGTGGGTCGTCGCGGACGAGGATCTGGCGGGCCCGACGCCCGTCTTGACACCAACTACGTTTCCTGAGAGCGAGGACGACGAGGAGGACGACGACTTTTCCGACGATGAAGACGACGACGAGGAGGACGAGTTGCTCCCCATGGACGTCGACCCCGACGTGCGGATCGTCAGGGGCGACGAGGCGCCGCCCATAGCGACGCTCGAGGGCGAGGACGGGACTGGTGAAGAGAACGGGAAACACATGCACCCCGTGCACCACCGCGCGGCGATCCAGCTGCAGACGACCGGGCTCCCCCTCGGCACGCCCAGCACCGGCTCCAGCAGCACCGACGGCAGCTTCTTTGCGACCCCGGCGACGGAGGGCGGCGACGTGCCCATGGAGATGTGAGTTTTTTCTTTATTTCATTCCTGTGCTTTCCTCCCCTCGTTGCTCGTGCGACCGACGCCATTCCCCGTCCCCGCGCATTGCATCCGCCCCCCTCCCCCCCACAGCCCACGTAACCTAATCAACCTCCTTCCCTCCTAACTTCCTCTATTCCCGTTCCCATCCCGCACACCCCGCCCATCCCCGTCCCTGCCTCGGCCCCTTTCCTGATATTGATATCCCCATACTCCCCTTTATTCGCGCCATTTCGTACAATTCTCCCTATTCTACTTCCACTTCCTCTCGGGTGCATGGCGCGCATCGCACCAGCCCGCTCGCTCGTCCCGAGTTTACATTCGCATTTCTATCACATTGGTTATATTTCCTCCGACACTCCATTCCCCATCCGTCACACGACCGAATATCGCTATCGCTATCTTCACTTCTCCATCCACATATCCCACCCGTCCCACCATCTCCCGAACATTTAATATCCGTTCCCCATCCTCCCGCCCATCTATCAATCTTCCCTATCCCAATTCACGTTACATACGACCCCCGCACCCATCCCGCCGCATCCTCGCGATTTGATTTGTGTCCTTACATTCATTCATCACCTACGTCTACATCTATCCTTCCCCGTCCCCCGCCCCAATTCGCGCGCATCACGCATCACACGACCGACCGTATCCCCCCCGCACACGCCCTCGCTCCATTCCTTCATACACTGCATCTCTCCGTGTCCTCTCCACTCGTACATCCATCCATCCAATCCTCGCATCTACTCCCCTCCCTTCCGTCCCAACTCACATCTTTCGCCGTCACACACACAATCGAATAGCCCGCGCCCTTCTTCTTCCCTCCTTCTTATCCATCCCCTCCTCGCTATATGCGCGCTGCTCTTCCCCTATCCATCCATCCGCTTCACCTGAGTGTGAACCATCTCACTCGACCCCCATTCTTTGTTCATGCCCGAATCCCCTCCCCCTTCCCTTCGTCCCTCGTCCCTCATCCCCGTCCCTTTATCGGTTATTCCATTCCGTCCTATCCCTTCCTTCCTCTCCACGAACGAACGAACAGCCGACGCTAACCACCCTTCCCAGCGCGCTCCCCCCGCCCCAGGACCACCCCGCGCGCGCGCCCTCCCCGCCCGCGTCCATCACATCCACGTCCACGTCCACGCCCTCGCGCTCCTCGTCCGCGTCCTCTGATGCCACACCGGGACAAGAAGCGCCGCCGCAACCCACACAGGCAAATGGAAGACAAGGAGACGAGGGCGCGGGGGCGGGGCCTGCGCTGCTGACGTGCACGTTCCGGCCGAAGGAGCTGATTCGGAGGGTGGCGGGGGTGGTGGGGGAGGTGCGTTGTTTTCCGTTGTTCTCTTTGCGTTTCTTTCTTCGTTTTCTTCGCGTGCTTGTGGTTTTGGAGCTACTTTTTGTTCGTCGGCCGGGGTTCGTCGGGCGCGCGCCAGCGCTTTCCTTCGGAGCTGGCTTCGGGGATAGGGCGGATCGGGGATCGGATCTTTGCTGGCGCTAGGCGGTGGTCGTGTGCCGAGTGTCGTGTGCGGGCGATGCGGTTTCTTTTGTTTTGCTGTTGAGCGTGTCTTGTGGGGGTGGGAGAGCGGGGAGC